ATTTTTGCAAAAATGACACTTCTGATGCTTGAAGCATTTATACATTTATTGCAAAAATATGTAAAAATCAAATAAACCATAGAATCATTTATTTTTGTAATTTTTTTTTGACAAAATTAAATTATATTATATGTTGACCAATAGATCCCAATAGATCCCAATAGATTATCATCTATTAAAATCCATTGAGCAACAATCTATTCATGCATACTGCGCCATTTGGATCCAATAGATTACTAATGGATCTGATCTATTGGATTATTTAGCTATTGAAGTCCAATGGATCTGATCCATTCCCAACCCTGCAATAGGATATGATTTTACTACATTACAAAATGTATTTTCTTCATTTTTATTAATAGATAAAATAGTCTGATTAGGATTATATTAGTCAAATGATTTTGATTGTATTAGATTTTGGAAAAATGTAGGATCAGTTTTGATTTAGATAGTTTTTTGATTATTTATATAGAGTTTTTTATAAATTCTGAATATATGTAATTTTAATTATTTTTCAATAAAGTTTTTGCGAAACTACTATACTTAAAAAAAATAACAAAAAAAAATAAAATAAACTTTATCTTTATTTTTTTTGTTCCTTAATAAAATTTCTTATTAAAAATATTTGGTCATTTATTAAAATGTATAATTTTTTTTATAAGTAGTTGTAATTACAGATTTTATAATAAAAAAAAATAAACAAAAAACTAATATTTACTGACAAAAGTTATTCAGTTAGCATGAAAACCCTTTATCTTAATATTAATATTAATAATACTAACTATATTTTCTTTCTTTTCTATTAACTATTTTTGCTTCTCTACTAACTGTTTTTCTTTTGATTTCTCTACTAACTTTCTCTCTTTTGATTTCTCTATTCTATTAATTGTCTTCTTTCTTTTACTTTTTCTAATTTACTAACTTTTTTTTTTTACTTTTCTATTTTACTAACCATTTTTTTTTTACTTTTATGCGAATTTTTTGAAACATCAAATATTTAAACATTTAATTTCTTTATTTATCAACCATTTGTTTAGAAAAATTTTCATCAATGTTTAACTTTATGAGACTTATGATAGTATATGCTACTGTGACTTCGTTTTTGTAATATTTTCTTTTTTATATTATATTATTTGTCAAATTGTTTTAATAAAATATAATTTGTATATAAATAAATAAATTTAAATATATTAAACTCAGTAAATTATGAATATTACACTACTAAAAGTTTTAAATAAATATTATAAATGAATTAATGATATAAATTTTTGTAAATTACATTAATCTACCTATAAACTTTCAAAATTCTTGTATTATCGTAAATTTTACAGAATATTATACTATAATGTTACGAAATACTACACTGTAATCTTTTAAAATTCTTGTATTTTCGTAAGTTTTATATAATATTATATCATAATATTATGAAGTACTATATTATAAACTTTCACATAGTTATATTCTATAATATTACATAGTACTACATTGTAATGTTATGGAATATTATGAAAATACAATTACATAATCTTACAGCAGCCTGTAAGTTTTCGTAATATTACAGAATGTAAGTTTACACAATATTACGTCCTATTAAATTTACTGATGTAATAGTTATTTTACATGTGTAGAGTGGGTCTATTAAAGGGGATAGCAATGTCAGATCAACTCAAGTAGATTTTTAATGTAGTTACAGAAGTAGTTAATCTTTTATATTATGGTTTTTTGATTTACTTAATTATTTTTTGTATAAAATTTAATAAAGATCTATTGGTTCGTATTGTCTAATCATAATAAGTTTTATAAGCAAAGTTCAATTTGTTATTAAAAAATAAATATTGATATTTTAAATAAAATCTTTTCATTTTTATATTATTTATAATCTACAGTTTAAACTAATAAAGATATAAGCATTTGAAATCAAATATTTTTAATGTCATGCAAAATTTGGCATCTGAAATTATAGGTCAGTTTTAATCTAAATATGTATACATTAAAATATGGCTGAATATAATTGGTTTATTTTGTTTAGCTTCGTTCTAAATATGTATATATTAAAATATAATCACAATTTTTTTGTAAATTTGAACACCAAAAAAAAAACAATCACATGATATTGAATTTTTGGTTGTGACGCGAATTAGAGAATCGGGGAAGTTACCAAATGGTAAAATTACCATAATTGTTTGTGACGTTATATTCTCAGAAACCATTTCTTTTTCCTTTTGACATTTCTTTAAATTTTTTCTTTATCGGTTTTAAATAATACTACTTTAATATAGGTAAATATGACAGGCTTAGATAAATTACAAAAATGTTTACAAGAACTTGAAAAGTGCCGTCAAAATATAGTGCAAAAGACTAGCTTTGGTGATGCCGTCAACGAAGCCTTTAGATATAGTCAAGATATTGATCAAATAGTTCTTAATAATATTGAAGATCAAGAGCTCGGTAATGCTCTTTATGATTTTTTATTTTTTTATAATAAAATGATAATTAACTGCGCCATATATCATGTGATAAAAGGTCTCGCTACCCAGCTGCTATTTGATTCTCAATTTGGAATTATCAAATTTCTTAACGATACTTCACGAGTAACTGATTCAATATTAGCAAAGGCAAAGATAGCGCTTTTAGAATTTCTTTTTCTTTATATCCAAAAGATCAAATCTGATATTGAACCATATACAGAAAACATCAAGGTTCATTATACATTTTATTTATTTATATGTATTTTATATTTAAAACAAATAAAACAAATTTAATAATTAATATATTTTAATTTATAAGAATGTACACTTTGGAATTCTCAACGTTGATAGTGAAGCCTTTGTAAAGGCAGCGTCTTTTAAGCCAATGATGGCGATTCTTGATTCAAGTAAAAGATTTATTGATCCTGAAAAATTCAATATCGAGGATGTAATTGCACGGTAATCTTCAATAATAATTGATAAATTATTTATTTAAATAAACGCGTTAACGATTATTCATTCATTCATTTATTTTTACAGATATCTTGAGATTTTCTTCGTAAGAATAAAGAGTACATCTGGAATAAAAGGTATATACTTTAATAGTTTACGTAAATAAAATTCATAAATTATTAGTGAAGTTACTAAAAATGGTTATATTTTCATTGGTATTAATTAGCTAAAGCGGGTGCTTTAGATATGTTGGGAATAATTGCTCATCGATTTCCGGAATATGTCAATGCTGAAAAAGATAAAATTCTTCGTGTTTTTATAGCTAATCTGAAAGAGAAATCTTTAACTGATGCAGCATTTACGGGATTGCATTCATTTTTATTTGCCTACCCAGATTCATTAAAAAATGGAAATCAAGATGCATATGTCTTTAAATGTGTTATGAACAGCATCACTATATTTGAAAATGAAAGAATGTATAGTATAACTAAAAGTCAGTATCTACATTTTACTTTATGGTCGTATTTTCATAATCCATTAATTATAATTTGTTATTTTATATCAGCCGGACTTCAATACATAATTGACCATTCAAATATATTTGGGGAATTTTTCTTACGTGAATATAAAGAAATGTGGCAATATTTTTGGAAATTACGTGTCCATCGTAATCAGGAAGTTAGGAACACTACATTTAAAGCTATTTGGGCTTTTTTGAAACAGGTTTGCTTTATTTTTATTTATTTTTATTTATTTTAATTTCACAAGGAATGCATTTGATATATTTTATTTTAGATTGCAAATGTTTTAAATTCGACCACGGAATTCCAAAAATTCGATTGTGTGGATGTAGGTTTGATGCAAAACTATACAAATATATATAATCTTTTTTAAAAAAAGATGTAATATTTTTTTAATGATCATTTCCTTTATAGTATTTTATGTTAGTATTTGATAATGTGGCAAGAGAAAGCAAAAAAATATCAGATCAACCGCTAAGTGAAGAGGAACAAGAGCAAAGAAAAAAGGATTTATCTATCGCAGTTCGTGGTGTTGGTTATTTCGCTGCTTCCGCCAAAAGATTAGATAAAGAAGGGAAGTGGAAACCAATATTTCAAAATCTCCTTAATCCAAATGATTGGTCTATATCAAAGTACGCATTTTTTTTTCTAAAGTTGTTAAATATTTTTTATATCATCATTATTTTTAATATATTATCAACATCTTTTTTAGTTTGAATGAAACTGAAATCAAATATTCGTTATCACAAGTTCCATTGTTTATTGAGGCATACTGCTATATTGCGCGTGATGATGATGAAATCTTCCATCAATTAATGGAGACAATCGAACATGAAGTGGGAACATTGATGATTTATTTTCCGCGAATGAATTATGATTTGAGGCGTCGTTGTGTTAATGCTTTTGAACATTTATTATGGATGTTTTATCTCAAGGATAAAGGAATTATGCAAAAATTTGTCTCTAAATCATGTAAGTATCGAAATCAAAATTATTTTACCATTTAAAATTAATTTATTAATCTTATTTAAATTATTGATCATTATTTATTATCTTCTAGTTTATCAAATATTGATTCTTACATGTTCAGATGCTATTCAGCTTCAAAGTATACCTGACCAACAAAGCGCAAATTCAGCTGATATGATTGATGTTGTTGCAGAACATACATATCAAGAAATGTTCTTTTTTTGGGAAAATATATTTAAAGATTCAACTTTCTCATGGATCATTGACCAAAGTGGATTTTCAATTGATGAAAATCAATTATGTATCATTCAGTCGGAATTCTTTTCTATACTTTATGATGAAATTATGTCATCAGTATTTCGAATGATACGGACTTTAAATTTAGCCATTACAGAAGTCACTGGAGAATCTAAACTTGTAACGAAAAATAATGATCAAGAAGTTGATGCCAATTTAATAGCTATAGCAGGTTCTGGTGACCTAGAAAATCTACAACCATTGGTTTCTAAAGATTTCGTGCTTTTCCATAATCTTGTCGATTTTTGGCAATTGTTTTTGCCTAGAATAAAAAGTCACTTATTTTCAAGATGGGTCTATCTTGCTGGAGACAAGTTAATAACATTTTCTACGCGATATCCATATGTTAGTGGATTCTATAAAATGTTAAGCTCGTGTCTGACAGTATGTGAATCCATCAACTTTTTTGAAGGTTTTGATAATCAGGTATCACAAATTCAACATAATTTAAATGTTAATTTTATTATTATAGATGTGAACTATTAATTAAATCATTCGATAAAACTAGAATGTTATGATGGGAGACTCTCAAGACCTATGGTCTCCAACAACATCACCAGCTCAAAAATCAAGCTATTTTCTTTTCATTAAATTCTTCAAAGAAGTTTCCGCTAGGCTTTCTCAATATAAGGATGATTTGCTGGCATCATGCTTACGTCTTGTTCTCTCTATTCCACGTGAACTTATTAACATACGTAACCTTATGTCGCCAATTTGTATTGCATTAAAAATGGGTCTAAGTTATCAACCTCTTGCGACTATTGGTATAAGTGCAATTGAAAAATTAGTGGATTTACAAGGACCTCAGGATATTAGTGAATGGCTTGGACAAATATTGCCTCTTTTTAATGAGTATTTATTAGTTAAAGCTGATTCGGTGGACGATACTATTAAAGGTTTCGCAAAAATTCATAATACACATCGAACTAAGCGCGGAAATTTCAAGTCATTAGATCAAACCCGGAAAGACAGAGTCAAAGATAAAGGACAAAAGAAATACGCTAAAACGATTGTTGGCGTATGTTTATTGTATTATATGACTAATATGTATTGGTTATCTTCTTGTATTAATTTTTTTAATTCATTTAATAGATCGGGCAACTAGAAAAAAATGTTGGATTACATGATTTGCAAGTGCGCATCCTTCGTTTGTTAGGGAGACTTGGTGGAGTTAGCAAGTTTGTGTTTGAAGATATTGTAAACAATGATCTGGCTTATCGACCAAGTCCTTCAATTAATCCAACTGGAACCAAAGTATCAAATAATAAATTGCTTGCTTGGGATCCAGATAAACGCTTGTCATTTGAGATTCCATTTCCTGACATTAAAGTTGAAATTCTGTTTGGTAAGATGAATTATCAATATAAAAAAAAAAAAAACTAAAATATATAAAAACGGTAAAAAAAAATTTTTTTCCTAGACGAGTTTTTACCGCGTATAGTGGAACTTGCGGAGTCTTCACCTGATCGTAATACAAAGATCGTTGCCTGTGAATTACTGCATTCAATTATTATAGTTATGGTTGGAAAAAGTGCATTTAAAGCAGGACCACAGCAGGTATCACTTGCAATGATTAATATTGACGAAAAACTATTAACATATTTCTTTTTAAGAATTCATTATTAATAATATTACAAATATTTTTATCCAGAGTCCATTTCATCGCACATATCGTTATATATTTCCTGCTCTTTTGAGATTGGCAATCGATACTGATCCTGTTCCACGAAAGATTTTTCGTCGACTTGTTGCTCAATTAATTCATTGGTATACAAATAATGCACAATATGAGAACCCTGAAACAATTACATTATTACAATGTTGCCTTGACGCGATATGTGATAGATGGGGCTCACTAAGAGATTATGGTGCGGAATGCCTGAATGAGTTTTTAATATGGTCAATTAAACAATCCTCAGCTACGGTATAATAATATTTATATACTTATAAATGTCATATTATTTATGTTTATATAAACTAATTAATATTTAATCACAAAATGAAGCAAGTAGAGGTGCAACCAATGAATATGAAATCTTTATTGAAACGATTATATAATTTATGTGCACATCCCGATTATACAAAACGTCTTGGAGCTTCGCTTGCTATTAATCATATTTATCAAGTGTTTCGTGAAGAAGATTACTTAGTTGATCAGTTCACCTTTGAACTCTTATATTGGATATTAGTCAATCTAAGACTTTCCGATAATGATCAGTCCGCAATAGGTAAGTTAAAAATTCCTTATAAAGTTTAAAAGGAGCCATCAAATAAAAAAATTATGAATTCTGTAGGAACGCGTCAACAAGCGATTTCAGCGATTCGTCATCTGAAAAGAATAATTAATGTAAAATCTAATTTGTTTTTAAACGAGTCTCCTATGAGAAGAAAATTTAAAAATCTTGACAAATCCGATTTATCATCTTTGGTTGAGTGGCTATTTATTGAGACAAGTAGAAAAGAACAAGATTACTCAAGCATATGTCGAGAATTATTTTACGAATTCGTGAAGTTTCTTCCGGGTAATTATTCGTGTTCTTTTGTAAAATATTGATTTAACGATTTTTTTATTAATATATTTCTGTTTTTCCACGATCTATTATATTCTATTTAGATTTTAAATCCGGCTTCAGATGGGTTAAATTTAGAATTGACAGAAATCCATCATTTTTGAAAATTCTTTATAAGACTTCAGAACTTTCTCTGTCAAATATATTGCATAAAGGTTTAGTTTCTCCACAAATAAAAGATTGGTGTGCACGACTTTTATCCGTTTTAGCTAATTACACATGGCTTATAAACGTAAGGTTCGTGTCACCTTTAGACTTAGTTTCAACTTTTGATCAAACATTCAAAGAGGCGGTCGACTATTTCTTGGAAAATTTTGTAAAAGATAGCGAGGACTTTGTTACTGATGCTATGGATATTGATGACGAGGAATACTCTGTCAAAAACATAGATTCTGATAGTGTTTTAACGCCTGCAGAGAAATTAGAATGGTTAACGCAAAAAATTCAAGTTATCAAATGCTTAATAGAATTTACTATCATATTACTCAAAGAAACCGATCCAAACAACTTGAGGCCTATATGGAATTCCAATCTCTTTGAAAAGAAATTTTATAAATTATTAGGAAATTGCTTGCTACGTCCTAACTCCATTGGATTAAATCAATTATCGGATGATATAATCAAACAAAAACTTTTAATTAAACAATCAGGAACCTTATTTGAGTTGTTTAAAAAATTGTCTGCTGGTAATGAAACTCAATTGAAACAGTTAGCAAAAGAACTCGCTGAGATTGCATTTTCCGACAAAGTCAATTTATTAAGTATTGAATTAGATAAATCAGGTACTCAATTTTTCAACACAATTGGTTTATAGATTTTGAAGTTTATCAAAATATAAAATCATTTACTATTTATTATAGATCCTACATATTATGTCCAAATTACTGATGGATATTTGGTTCTCAGCTGTTCTGGACTTTTTCCGGATCTATTAGAACACGAAATGAATTCGCATATGAACACTAGTTCAAAATTATATGATTACATTTTAGCAAGCTGGAAAAAATTCAATGACCTCCGTGATGTCATAGATCCGCTGTGGGTTGTCCTTGTTAAGCGACTATTATCATTTGCTCTTTCTCTTAGTAAATATAATGGTGCGATTAACCAATGGCTACTTAGTGATATAATTGTAGGTTATGCGAAGATTTTGCACTTACTGTATATTTAAAAATAATAAATGAATTTCATTATTATAATTTCTCTTTAGGGATTCCCTAGTAATAACTCGGATTTCTATCATCAAAATGGGACGATTTACTACCAGAAGTTCTCCTCAGTTGTACGTTATCGTTATTCATTTATTTATTCGAAGATTCATGTTATATCAAAACTAATTCAAATAATTTATTTTTTAGATCAATGAACATATATCATGCAATTTTGGAGAATTTGCTAAGATCTTTTATGAAAATATTAGTGGGCTCAAGGATCAAAATACTATTGCAATGGATGTTGCTATTGTTAAAGATATAATATTAAATCTAATTGATTATTTGTCCTCTAAGAAAGAAACTCGACAGAATTTGACGTTTTTAAATGATGTAAGTGTGTGTAAAGAATAGATATTAAGAAACATATTATAACGTTTATCTATTTTATATTTATTTTACGTATAGTTAATTTCAGAGATCTATTTTCTTGAGGATTTGTAAGCATGTTTTATTTTTCAGTCATGACATTTTGTAAATGGGATTTGTTTCATTAATAATCTGTATTTTGATTCTCATTTAATTCAGCGTGAAATTATGTACTTCTGACCATAAATATTTATTAAAATTTTGGAATGGATTATTTTTGTTGGAACCGAACTTATTGAAACGATTTTCACTGGAAAACTTTGGAAAATTTCAAAATTTATTTCGGGAAAATTATGAATCATTCCTTGATAGAAAAGTTGACCTTGAGTTCAAGAATGAAGCTTTGGATCTTTTGACTTTTTATTTAAAATCGGATTTGCCAAAAGCAAAGGTGAAATTATTAATATTGAAAATTGATTTTCATAATATAAATCTAAATATTTATCATTTTGTCATTTTCATTTTAGATTGAAAGCTTTATTGAATACATTCTTTATCAACAAATACCCACTGATTCTAAGGATTATTCGAAGTGTGGAACTAAAAAGTATTTTAATTTATATTTTAATTTACATTTTAAAAGATTACAAGTGTTAACTACTATTTATTGCTTTTTATAAAGACTAAATGAATATTTGTCGATTCTTGATAAAATGCTTAAGACGACAGTGAGATCCGGAAGCGTGAGCTTATTTAAAATATTGATTCCCACGTTTTGTCGTGAGAATGATCATGTATATGGAGAAGAATTTCAACAACAAATTAGTAAATTTGTGTCAAAGCTTTCTCGTTCCAAATATGTTGATACAATGGATATAGCTTACAGGTAATAATATTATTAATTTTATTTTAATAATTTAAAACTATAGTAATTCCTTAACTTTTCGTTCTATATATACAGATATTTCACGAATCCAACATACATTAGCTTTCAACGAATTATTATTGAGATGATTTTATCACCTCCTTTGCTGAAAGGTCCGAAGATTTTTGTATTGGATTTTTATAAGAAACATATTAATGAAATCATCAATCTTCTTGAGCATGATAAATATCCAAGAAATGTTGAGGAGAAAGTATATGGTCTTAATGAAAAGGCAGGATCATTGACGCTTTTACAAATATCCTTAAATATCAAACGGGTTTAGACATTCTATTATGGATAAATCATTACCATTTGTAATTATTTTCTTTAACAAAATTCACATTCTTTATCTTCGTGCCTCCGAAGATGATATATATTCTGAAAAGAGCGAAATCGTCCAAGCTTATTGTCAAGGAAGACCATTGAAAGCAAAGGAATTGACGAAAAAAGTGATGGAAAAGGCACATAGGATTAAGTCAAAAGCAGATAGAGTAGGCATAATTAAATGTCAAATCTTGAATTTTTATATATAATTTTTAAGCCAAATTAATCTTAATTATTAGGACAATACCGGTAATAAATTAGTATCTGAGGCTAATTTGCGTTACCGTTGTGAAGCATATAATGCTTTGGCGGCTGCAATTTTATGTACACAAAATAATCCAGTGTATTATAAAGCTTTCTTGTTTTCCGAAAATCTTTTAAAAGGCGAATTATTATGGGAAAACATTATTGATATAGAGGTTATTTATATACTAATAATTGTCATAATATTCGTAATATGAAATTTACTTGACCAATTAACATTCGTTATATTTAGACCAGTTATCAAATAAATGTTGAAACAAATCAATCATTGTTTAGGACGAAAGTTGATGATTATAGATCTAGGTCCGGAGGATTTTCTAAGTAAGCAACTATGCATTCATATACAGAACAAGCTAAACCTTTATTTAAGCATTCTCATACTCATTTAACCTATTATTTATAAGATCGAACAGTTTGAAGAATCTTGCATCACAATATTTGGAGGATTCTAGCGTAACACAAGTAAAAATCTAGTGATTATACTCTGTCCTTTCTTTTTTTATTACATAACAACATTGAATAATATACGTTAAATAGAGTGGTGCTTTCCTTAATGAGTTACCTAATGATACCGAAGATAGGCAACTTTCTAGCGAATCCGAAAATGAATATTTAGGCCTAATGCAAATGGATATCGATAAACCAGTTGAAAATAAATCGGAGTAAAGTTTTATAATGTATTTTTTTTATTTTATTCTTATCGTATCTAAATTTATTCATTTTTAATAGTTCTGAAGCACGCGGATTAGATGTTGATGACTTCAATCGCCACCCTTGTATGAAAATGATCATTAGAGTTATAGATCGACTTCATAATCAATTAACCAAGTCAACAGGTCCTGATGACCCAATGCCTGGGTGGATGAACGATATGTATAAAAAATTTACAAATATAGGAAATGAAATTAAGGGTATATCACCTATTTTTTATTATTATTTATTGTTTTTTTAAGTAATTATCTGTATAATACGACATTAACTATTTTCTTTTCTTAGAGAATGATACGCATGTAAATATCCGCTTATTTATTGCTAAAATTATAGTCAATATTCCAGAAGCATTTGAAAAATATGCCTCTTTATGGATTCGTCCCATTATGAAATTAATAACCGAAGGCAATTTATATGGCGAAGGAATTAATTATTACATTCAGGTAATCGTAATCTGAAATTTTGATGTTTTCATATTTTATATTTATCCTATTTACTATTTGTATTTTTAGGACCTTTGTGCAATCGTAACCGTCTGGGGTTCTTTTGTTAAATTAGAATCTTATCAAGATAAAGTTCTAATATATGAACTGATGGTATTCAATCATAGATCGTTATTAATATATAAATATAAATATAAATATTTTTTAAATTAATTTTATTAAATTTACTAGGAGTTTTTGATGAAAAATTCGTACGATAAATCACGCGTTATCATTAGAAATAACATTTTAGCCATTAAGAGGTTATTTGAAACTTGGAGTGAATTAATTGTTGTACCTACAGTAAGATTCTTTTTATATTTGTTTATACTTAAATTAAGAACCATAATTTCAATATTACTAATATTTTAATAATTTAGCGCATCATTCATGACCTCATCAGTAATCCTACAAGAAACAGTGAAAAAGTTTACACTGGGTTACAATTATTAGGAATAGTTCTAGCGCATAACAAACCTTTGTTTCAAGATGAAGTTGGACTTGATTTGGATGGATTAACTTCTGATAAATTTTATATGGATTTAATCAATTTATTAGATGGCTTTAAGCAAAGTATTCGTGCATTAGCAGCTGAGGTTTGTATATCAGATGTTTATGTATATATTAATCAAAAAGAATTGTGTTTCACGATCTTCATATATAGGTTTGTGGTTTGGCTATTAAAAATTTGCGAAAATTTCATTGTTCGGATGGTCTTTCAGCTCTATTGAATCCAATGTTTCAAAAGGTTAAGTTTTCAATTTATTTTAATGATTTTCAAATATTTTAAAATAATCTAATTATGAGGTTGAAATTTAATTTATGAACAGATATCTGGAATGTATCGACAAATTTCATTCAAGTCGTCTGTATCTGATTTGGAAAACTTCCTTATTGTTATTCATCATATGTCGATACACGACGTTGATGTTGCTGTTAAATTTTTGAAATATGTCTTTGGCATCCTGCCAAAATTAGAAAATAAAAAGATATTGGCGTTAGAGATAATTTCATTTTGTGCCGGTCATGATAAGGATCTGTTTACGAATTTACAAAGTGATCGACTTCTAGGCTTTTTAAAACACAGGTGAATATTTTCTCCCCTTTATTATTATTATTATTATTATTATTACTTCTTTCTTATTATTAATTATAATTTAATATGGAATTTAAAAAAGAGACGAAAATGAGCAATTACTTGCCTTGAAAATCTTAGCTGGTATACTTAATGATATTGATATTGCAACATTTGATTATTACTTGAATAATTTAATTGAAAGTTTCCAAGACCATCCTGATAATGATTGTCGAGTATCCTTTTGATCATTTATTATTGTTGCTTTAGAAAAAAAAAAATTTTCAATAATTCCTTAACTTTTAACTTGCGAAATGCAATTAGAAAACATATTATACAATTTTGGTCAAAATGTATAATAAAATTAATGGAATAAATGACAGAGAAAATGAAATAAAGCAAAAATTGAAAATAAACCTTTTGCGAGGATTAGTCGATACAGATGAATCGATTCAGCAAGCATTGATTGAATTCTGGCATGTACAAGAAGAACTTTCACGTGATACATTTACAAAGTTAAAAGAGCTTATTGGGTTTGTATTAATTATTTTCTTGCCATTAAACTTTGGAAAAAGGATGAAGATACTTACTTAATCTTGAATATGACTAGTAATCTTTATTCTACCGAAACCGAGAATTTATTCCTCAACTATGCTTGTTACTTGTTACTTGAAGGATCCAAGAAGAGCATTGATTATAATAAACCTATATTTAACCAACCATTGCCGCTATCCAAATTTGATGAGAATTATGATGATATTGATACATCATGGCGAGTGAATAATACAATGACTCCTTTGTTTATGAATTCGCAAAAAAATAAACCAAAGGTAAAAATAAAAGTGATCCCGCTTTTTTTCAACATTTATTGAAAATTTTATTTTTAAGCTTTTATTAATTCTAGAGCTCGTCTCAAGATGGTCTAATTCGAGCAACTAATAAAGACTTAGCATTTAGCTTAACTCTAGATTCAGGCAAGAAATAATTTGCAGGATTTTTAAATAGCCTTCTTTTGTGACGATAACCTTATTAATTATTTTAATTAATCAGAAAATGCAGAACTTGGTTCTCAAGTTGCTGGCTACTCTTTGACACAGTCAAATTTATTATTTTCACAACAAACTTTTCCCAATATGGAACAAGGCGATATACAAAAGTAAATATTATTTTAGTAATTTGAAGAATATAATGAAGAATACAATTAACCAATTAATTTTTCACATAGATCAATACAAACTTCGGAATATCGAAGATCTAGTCAACGATCTTTCGAAACATATTCTCAACGCGATTTTAAACATAAAATGCGGACAGAAAAAAAGCAAGCTGAAATATATAAGACGAGCCAGCATGGCGTATTCCCAAAGAATGTTTCGTTGTTACGTAGATATCGAGTTGGTAAGTAATTGTATAAAGGTATTATCAAATAAAACTTTTTACTATTATTAATAAACATTAATATTGAATAGGTGAACTTCCTGATATCGAAATTAGTCACGGAGAACTAATTAATCCATTACAATCATTAGCACAGCGAGATTTGAGTTTATCTCGGATATTGTTCACGTATCTATTTGTTTCAATATATAATCAAATTGATAATCATGATGTGCAGGTAAAATATTGGCTTGTCATATAATTGTTATTTTTTTCAAGTCTGTTAATAATCAATGGTATATATTTACAGACTAATGAATACAAAAAAGACATAGCTCAACATATTCAAGATATATTTGGCAAATCCACTATGAACTTCCCACCCTTTATTGGAAGTTGTTTAAGAATCTGTTATGAAGTCGGTGATATCGAAATAGATCCGAATACGATTCGTAAAGCATGTAACTTAAGCTCAACGGAATCACTGGGAATTATTTTGATAGAGCGGCAGCTATTATATACTTCCATAGGAAGAGGTAAGTTGAATTTTCCTGCAATAGCCATATCCGAACAATAAAATTGAAATTGTAAGATTAATTTTATGTTTTCGATTAGAATCTAAGAGGTCACGTACCACAAATTCTAGTCTTGTTGCTTCAAGCAAAAGACCTTGGATTGAATTGAGTCATTTATATAAATCCATTGATGGTCATGATGTTTACAAGAGTATCTATGAAAGCAAAATAGCTATCAGTGAACTTACAAAAGGTAATGAATTCTAAAAGGAAGATTTTGATATGTATAAACAAGAATCTAATAGTTTTTCTGGAATGGTTTTTAGATGCTCTTAACGCAGAGCTTTTGGGAGATTATGCCTTAGCATGTAATCATTATCTTGAAGCGTTGAATAGTGAAGCCGAAGTTGATGATATTGAGGTTTGTCGTATTTATGAGTATTCATTTATTATATTGATTCAAAAAAATTTTTTAATATAATTTTTTTGTTTAGGTTGCTTTGTGGGAAGAAAGACGTTTTGATTGTCTTGAAAAGCTGTGCCAATGGGATGATTTGGCGGAGACCGTTCTTGTTGATATTGAAGGCAATTTAAGCAACTTATGGGATGATGAATTACAGGTTTGAATTCAGGAAACGTTGCATAATTTTTTAAAATATTTTATTCTTTATTTAATTCTGAATTAAATTTTCCAGGAGATATATCTACAATATTTTATCCATAGTTTCTTTAAATTAGCTCATTGTGATGAACATAATGAACATCGGCAGCTTTTTTTCGATTTTATTGATAGTACTAATAATAATCAATATCAAAAATCCTTATTGACAACGCAATATCCCATTGGTATGTTGTAAATAGTTTCTTCGAAATAATGACATTTAACAAAATATTAACCAATAGTTTTATTTAGAACTTGCATTGAGTTCACTAACAAAAAAGGATTTGGAACAAGCACGGTTTTATGTTCGAAAATCATTTGATGATTTCTTATTTACATGGTCTACTTTACATCCATTGGCAATCGGCACTCGATTGGGTAAATTGAGCTCTTTACAACAGGTAATTATTTAAATTCTCTCTTGATTTGATTTGTTTATTAGTAACTAACTATAAACGAACAAATCTTTACAGACTGTAGAAATCGAAGAATATTTAAATCTTCATCAATCTTCTGAGAGGGATCAGACTTGGAACACAATTATCTCGCGTTGGATGAGGAGGTAAAATTAAAAATAACAACCGTAAAAATATTCAAAGTATTACTTGCAAAGAATTGATTTTCATTATCTTTATATTTTTAGATTTCCTTCAAAAACACTTGATTCCTCCAATATATGGGATGATATTGTGACAACTCGTCAAGCTATTCTTAATGAAATGGCCGATTGGATAAGAATAAATAATGTGAGTTTTATTAAACTTAAAATTACATTTTATTTATGAGAGTGTCATTGTATTTAAACGAACTTTACTTTATTAGTTTAATAGAATGAAAGCTTCATTAGAGTGCCAAAATTTGTTAAAAATGTCATCAGCCGCGCGAAAACAAGGAAACTTTGAGGTTTCTCGAGTCTGTTTAAATAAAATAAGAAGTTCGAAACTTATCGACGAGGAGAAATTGACTTATTATCAGTTTAAATTGAACCTTCGCGAAGCTCAAAATGCAATTGATACTGAAAAGAAAGCAGAAATATTATTGGCTTTATCAGAGGAATTTAAAAAAATCAAGGTGAGTTAAATTTTAATTTAAATTTTTGATACTTTACAATACATCTGTTCTAAAAATGTCCTTTTCAGATTACGGATTCTAAGGATGATATAAAAATGAGAATCATAGAAAGCGAAACATATGGACTTATAGTTGCGGAGTTGGATAAGAGGTTCCCTAACAGAAACTTGTCCAAAGTTAAAAATAATAAAAATTATTTTATAGAACGAGGATATAATCTTTTTAATGACGCAACCAAGGATTATGTATTACAGTCTAAGGTAAAACAAAAATTAATTTAATATTATAAAATTTTCACAAATTAATATTCCTTTATTTAATAGCCATCAATACATTCTAAAGTCCTTGTCAAGTTTGCTAAATTTTGCGATTACTTTTTGCGTAAACTTGAATCTACCGAGGAGAAAATGGTATAACATGGATTATTATTTAAATCTTTATATTTATATTTATCTTTTTATTTTGCATATTTTTCTCTAACTGTCTAAAAATATAATTCTATTATTCAAATTTTTTTTTCATAGCAAACTATATTTGATCGTACACAATATGCTTCTAATGTAGTAGAGAGTATATTGCAAGCAATGGAAACTGGCTCAAAAGAAGCAACCGAGATGTTTCCAAGATTGCTTCAAATAATTGAAAAATATAATAATACGCGATCTATATTTGAAGAAAAGGCAAACGCTTATTTAATGTAATGATTATCATTGCATTTATAATAAACTATAGTAACATTATATAAATTCTACTAGGTCGAATCTATTAATTCCGTATGGAAGTTTATTCGATGGATTACTCAAATTGTTGCGATCTTGGATCAACCTATAGCTCGTTGTGTTTTTCCGATATTATTCAAGGTATTAATTACTTTAATGATATTTTAAGGAATTTTCCTATGACTCGCACTTATATGTTTTATATTAGCTTGTCGAAGAATTTCCCGGAAGCTTGTATTATCCACTCACTATCAGCAGTGAATATTATAAATTTGATGAAAATACTCCTCTGGCTCGAGAGAATAAGATTAAAGTCCAAGAATTGAAGCAAATAATAAAATGCAATGTTACTGATTTATTTGTAACTGAGCTTCAAAGACTCACTGATTCTGAAATACATTTCCAAAATTGGGCAAAATCAGTTAATGTATGTATAAAGTTCAGAGAAATTTCAATTAGACTTTCGAATTAATTCTTTGGATTCTATTAGAATTTGATTAGGGCGAATGCAGGTGGCAATAAAACTGCAGAAATAATGGCTTCTTTCCAAGAAATGAGTGCATTTTTATTAAATCCTAATCCTCATCATGGAAGATTTGATATCCTTTATTTAATATTATTAGTTTTTTCTTTTTCTTTTTTTTGTGTTCTTTTTTTAAAAATACTATTTCTTAACATAACCTACCTAAAGAATTTGTTAGCCGACATTCCGAATATATATTTACCGTTTGTGGTAAGAAATATTTTTTTTTAAATATATCTTAAAAAAAAAAAATTCTTTTTTTGATTAAATGTATCGCAATTTTGTAGGAAGAGACGGTTCATTATTAGCAAATATGTTACCAAGCGATTTTAAGACAAAAATATGGGAATACTACTTAAAAAATATTAAACGTCAAAATAGAAAGGCACAAGAGGGAGCTAATTTATTGAAATCTTACTCTGCATGGCTTGCTGAGTATTCTTCTTCGAATGTTGAAAAAGTATTAATACAAATGAATTATTTATAATTTTAAAATAAATTTCCTGTTCTTAATTATGCATTATTTTTTTTCTATGTAGGAAATTGAAATTCCGGGACAATATGATGGATTAAATATTCCTGACCCAAGCAAACATGTCAAAATCGCACATTTCGATCCCAATATTTTGGTGTTGTCTTCATTACGTAAACCAAAACGAATTATTATATTGGGAACGGACGGTAATGAACATATGTTCCTTGTGAAAGTAAGTCCTTTATTTATAATTTTTATTTTTCTGTATGCAAGTTCGATACCGAAGCTTTTTTTTTTTAGGGAGGAGAAGATTTAAGATTAGATCAGAGAGTTCAACAACTATTTTCACTTATGAACGAAATAATGAAAAAAGATTCTTTCTGTTCCCAACATAATATAACACAAAAGACTTACAAAGTAATCTCACTTAAAATTATACACTTATGCTTTTATTTTATTTAAATTATTATTAAAATATATTTACTATTTCTTTTATAGGTTGTGCCAATAACGGGTCAACTTGGAATAATAGAATGGATTAATAATACGAGGACTATGCGCTGCTTTATTGAAAGGGAACTTAATGATCCAAAAGTTTTTACTGATGCACAATCAATGCATTCGCGTTGGGCTTCAAGTATGAAATATAATGAGTTATATTTGAATGTTATAACGGATACGATCTTAATTTTTATTTTTATTTTGAAATAGACTATTATAATATAATTATGAAAGCAAACCGTGATAATGTGGTTCAACATTTCAACGATCTTCAGAGAGAAATTAAAAATGACTTGTTAAAAAAGGCACTATACAAGCTTGCTGCCTCTCCTGAAGCACATTTATCGATTCGATCTGAATTTATAAAGTGCCATGCGGCAATCAACATATGCGGATATCTTATTGGTATTGGAGATCGACATTTAGAAAATTTCTTAATTGATACAAAGTGAGATTATTTTAATTAGCGTACGATATATTGATTTGAATAAATTATTAATAATTCTTTCTTTATTATTAGGAGTTCATTGATATCTATTGATTTTGGTCATGCGTTTGGTTCAGCGACAGAAATATTGGATTTTCCAGAATTAATACCTTTCAGACTTACTAAACAGATAGAAACATTAATGGAACCTCTCGGGTCTAAAGGGCTGTTAGAGTACCCAATGATTAAAATATTGCAAAGTAAGAAACCATGGAAGAAAAAAGAACTTGTAATATATAAGCTTTTCTGATTATAAATATTCTTTCATTTATAGTTATGCAAGCAAATAAAGAGATTTTGTTAAATGCAATGGATATTTTCGTAAAAGAACCATTATTGGACTGGCAAACGCGTGCCCTCAAACAAGCTAAACAACAAAGTAAGTTATATAAACATAATATTTTAATTATTTAAATACTTTATTTTACTTATAATTTAATGAAATTAGAAAATCGAGGTAGTAATGAAATTGGAGATGATGATTCACAGACTGTGGAATGGTATCCACGATTAAAGTTAGATATTGCTCGGCGAAAGCTTGAGCTTGAAAATCCGGCCTGTATCCTTACATATTTAAATTGAGATTATTCCAATTTTTTTTTATTATACACGTTCTTAACGTTTTGATTCATAACAGCTATCGTTTGTAATGAATTGGGAACTGGACATTCAAATAAACCATGGTTTACTTCAATTATTAAAATTGCGCAAGGTGATCCTAATCATAATATAAGAGCCAGGGCCCGCCAAAAATGTTTTAGCGTTAAAGAGCAAGTTGAATGCTTGATTGATTTAGCCACAGATCCGTATGTGTTAGGTATAATGTGGGTCGGTTGGCAAAGTTGGGTATAAATTCACATTTTGTAAAAAGTATTATTTAGTGAACATATAGTTATTTTGTTTATATATGTAGTTCAATTAATAATATGATGCTTAATATCAAATTTCTTAATATCAATTTTTTTATTATTCCAAAATTCAAAATGTCAAAAAAATTTAATAAAATTGTCAATCATTATTTTCCTTTTAATCTTACCTACTAATTTTTATTTATTCTAAAATATTATTTAAAATAGATAAGTTTAAATCTTATGATTTTTTAAACATTTATATAATGCTTAATTAATAATCATAAGAATTGGTTAAATTTGAACCCTTTTCTAATTTATAAATTAATTATTACCATATGGGGACGCGGCTAGCAAAAGCGGGGCTCAGTCGATCACGTGATTTCGAGAAAATCGAGGTTTAAGTTGACCAATCAATTTTGACGATCATTGCGAAATTATTCAAAAACGGTCTTAATAACAGAACGAAATTTTTAGGTTTCCTTTCCTTCTTTTGTTGCACATTTTTTTAATTTAAATAATAAAATTTATATAATACATATTTTTAATAAGACCATGCTCCAAAGAACAAAAGGTTATTTTTACGCACTTTTTACTATTATATTATGGATTAAAAAAATATTGTTACATCAATTTCGTAACACTTGAGATTTTTGAGATTTTGCTATTAAAACAGCATTTTTATATATGTTGATCATTTGTCGATCATTGCTAAAATTTACGTCGATCATTTCTATAAAATCTAATTTTAGATATTTGATTGACATTATACAGAAATTTAAGCATTTTTGCCGGCCAAATTACTTGTTTATTAATAAGCTAATAGTCTCTAAAAATTTAACCAAATAAAGTTCATTTAATAAACTATAATATAAATCAAAAATCTCATTTTTTGTTGAAAGGTTCCTGTAACCCATTTTTAATAGATCAGCTCCCATATGATCATTACAAAATATCAAAATCATGTGATCAATCTGAATCCCGGCTTTTGCTCCATATATCTTTTTCAGTTTTTATCTTAATGAAATATTAATTAAAATAATATATTAATCCAATTTTATAATTGTTCGAAGCATAGTAAAGGACATTTTACTTCTAGGTTATTTAAATGTAAGATCATTCTGTCCATTCAAATTTGACAAGCCTAATATGATAACCAATGACATTTATTTTACGTTATCACGTGTTATGTCTTTTGTGTTACAAAATAATTAATTATGTGAAATATGATATTATAATTTATATTATGCTTTGAACTTTGAATAGATCCCGTTCTCTAGTATTATATAATATTATATTTTTTAAAGTTTTGCATAAACTGGCTCAACCATCAGCTTAAGCTGAGCTAATTTATTTTAGCTCGCAAGCCAGCTTGATTTGAGTATAAAACATGATAAGCTGAGTCCAATTCGTAAAGTTTACATTATTAACAAAAATTTGAAAAAAATTTTGGAATAATTGAAAAGTTTAGAAAGTGATTTCCTTCAAGAAAATCAATCATCTCCAAAATAATTCCTTCAAGAAAAATGTCTCAAAAATGATTCACTTGAAGAGAAAATATCTCTAAACAATTCTTTTGAAAGAAAATGCTTTTAAAATGTTTCTTATGAAGGAAATTGCTTCCAGATTATTTTCCTTTAAGAAATACATTTTCAAAGTGATTTCTTTTAAAAGGTTTATTTCTGAAGCAATTTCTATTAAGAAATTCACTTCTGTAGCAAATTCTTTAAAGAATTTTACTTTCAGAATGAGCTTTATTAAGTAATTCACTTCTATAGCAAATTCTTTTAAGAATTTCACTTCTGAAGCATTATTTTTGAAGTAAAATGCTTCTACTATAGTATATCTTTGAATGAACATGCTTATAGAGCATTATTTTAAAATGAAATGCTTCTACCATAATGTATCTTTGAAAGAATATGCTTCTGAATCATTATTTTCAAAATAAACACTTTTGAGAGTTACCTTCAAAATAAAATGTTTCCAGAATATTACATTTGAAGAAAATCGCTTTTATAGTATATTTTTGAAGAATACGCTTCTGAATCGTTATCTTTAAAAAAATTGCTTCTGAAGCATCTATTAAATATAAATCAATTTATAAGTAGAGCAGAATATAAATTTTATATTTATTTAAGTTATATAATGAATCAAATTTAATTTATTTGCAAAAAAATAATTAAAAAAATTATAACAATTTTAAAAATAATAAAAATAAATATAAAACAAACTAAAAATGAATACATAATAAATTTTTATATAAAAAAATAAATTACTCTAAAGTATTATTTTAAAGTATTATTTTTAAAAATAAATTTTATTCTCTTTTTCTAAAATAAATCTGATTTTTAACTATCCTTTAAAATACATACATTTATAAATTATTTTATCTTTTAAACTGCATCTTTTTGTATTATCAAATCTGTTTCACCTGAAAGAATTCTTTCTATAGGTGTACGTGTAGCTAAAAAATAATAATTATGATAAATTTTTAATAGTAAATATAATTTATAAAATAATTACAATTATAATATTTAAATTAATCTGAAATAGTTAACCATTTTAGAAAAATTTGGATATTCTTTTTCATAAGCTTTATAATAATTTAATAAGTTAAAAAAAAAAAAAATTATTATAATAAATATTTTTTTATAATACTTACTTTCTACTATAATAAAATATTAGTTTTATTAGATACTGGATTTCTAAGATAATATTTAAGCTCATTTCTGTGATTTTTTTTTTTTAAATCTTCTAAATTATTAGAAGATTGATTAACATCTGCAATATTTTTGTATTTTTTTTTCCAAATATTAGTAATAATTTTTTTTGCTTCATTAATATAATAAGGTTTCCAATTATTATTTTCATAATAATGTAATTTTAATCTTAGATCTATTACTATTAATTATAAATAAAATTTATTAATATTATTATACAAAAATGAAAAATATCTAATTTTAACTAACTTGTAATAATAATATAAATATGTTTATCTGTTAATAAATAATATTCTAATATTTATCTTTTGCTAATTTTACTGAATTTTTAATTTCATTTCTATTATTTAATATATTTTGGTTTTAATATTTGGCAAAATTTTAGTTAGACTCAGAGATTTGGTAACAAATCAATTGTATTTCACTAATTGAAATCAGTTAGGCTGATTTTTGTGAAAATTATAAAAATATTTTGAGAGTAATTATCCCAAAGAGATAATAGAAATCATTCCTAAAGAAATGAATAATTATTCTAAAGAGCTGATAGCAATCATCACTAAAGGAATGAAAATTTTTCCAAAAGGAATAATACAATTATCTCTAAAAAATAATTAATTATTCCAAAAGGAAAACTGCAATCATCTCTAAAGAGATAATAGAAATCGTTCTTAAAGAAACAAATAATCATTACAAAAGAAACAATATATTCATTCTAAAAAGATGATAGAAATTGTTTCAAAAAAGAATGATATTTTTATTAAAAGAATGATGATTTATTTTATCATTTTATTGGAATAAAATATCATCATTCTGAATTAATAATTCTTTTTACTGTTCTTTTACAACAATAAATTTTTATCTGTTCTTTTAGAACAATTAAACAATTATAATAATTATTCCTTTAGATAATTTAATAATCATTTTTAGAAATGATTAAAATATCACTTCTTTCCTTTAGAATAATTTTGTTATTGTTCTTAAGAAACAATTAAAATATTGTTCCTTTTGAATGATTTTTTATATCATTTTTAAGGAATGATTAAATTATCATTCTTTTTAAATGATTTTTTATATCATTCTTAGAAATAATTAAAATATCATTTTTTTTGAACGATTTTCTATATTATTTTTATAAACAATTAAAATATCATTTTTTTTAAAGATAGAGCTGTAATTAATTTTAAAATTTTTAACTAGTTACAACTTTTTATGAATTTTTATATTTAAATAAATTTTACAAGAAGTTGCAACTAGTTGCAACTTAAATTGTAATCTACTGAATTGCAACTTCTTAAATATAATACCATCTTTAATTCCTTTTGAATGATTTTTTATATTATTCTTAAGAAATAATTAAATTATTATTTCATTAGAATGATTTTATTGTCATTTCAATCAGATGATACAAAATCATTTATTTAAAGTATTTATAATAAATTATTCTTAAATAATAAATATACAGTGGCTTCCAAAAGAAACGCAAGTGGCATTGCTTGCCTTTAATTGCCTGTAACTCACTGTGCACGAATG